GGGCTCTGAGCAACCTGATCTAGTTAGCGGTGTCCCTGCTCCTGCAGGGGGGTTGGACTAGATGACCTCTAGGTGTCCCTTCCAACGCAAAACATTCTATGATTCTATGATTCTATATAGAGCATTTCTATGGCTGCATCGGAGAGTTGAGGGCAGCTGGAGTGATGTATTCTCTCTACATATGGTGTTGCACTTGGGAGATCCCAAGGACCTAGGGGTGTTGCAGATGGAGTGAGAGGGAGGCAAAAAAATACAGTTTATTGATGTAAAACAGTGAGATAACAAAGTTCAGTGGTAAATGCTACAATACTTTATAAGATTTGATGGCAAGGTACACTTGGTTATTGACTGCACAGAGGACAGGGTCAGACAAAGCTGTCAGGGAGACCCTCCAATTGAGTCATGAGTCATGAGGTTCAGAAAAGATGCCCTTGCTTTCTAAACTCCTTCCTCAGAGAGGAATCTGTTGTAGTGAGGAACCTCTCAGCCTCAAGGCGTGACCTTGAGAGGTATCCCTGCTCAAGGGGAGATCCTGGCGTGCAGCCCGCTGCCATGCAGGAGAGCTCCAAGGGCTCTTGGGCTGCTCACTACTGATGGGGGTAAGGTGATTGGCTCAATCATATCTGCATAAAGACCACAGATTTTAGTTTCTTCACTGTGCTTAGCTGGGCACATTGTACAATAACCCTTGGCTGTTGTATTGCTCTCTGTCTCCCCTGAATCCACTTCGAGCTCGATACATCCGTCACAATCGGACACATGTACCATGACCGCCACAGGTGGTTATTGCTTGAGCAGGGTTATGGGAAGCAGGGGGAGGATCACACCACCACAAGAAACCTCCCATCTCCTGTCGATAGGTTTGGTTCAGATTTGGTTTTAAAACCAGCTATAAGCCAGAAATAAAACAACTAGCTTTGCCTACTGAGGACTTTTGATTTGCTTTGAGTCAGGGGAGCAAACTGTTTTATGTCCCTGCAGTGCAGCAAGACTCATGTGCAGTGTGGGATGGTGTGGAGCAGTTATTTATGTTCCACAAAAATGTTCATTCTCACAAAAATGTTTTCCTTCTGCTGTGGGATAATCTCAAGACTTCTCAGCAGAGGGGAAAGAAAAAAAGCAAAAGAAAAAGCAGGGAACTTGTAGGAGTTGCTGTAGTTCCCTATGTAGGTGGGATGTAAGACAATAATGTCATTGTCCATGGACAGCTCAAGTTCCTGTAGGCATATAAAACTCCATTTCCCAGAGCCTTGATATGCTGTGTGCTCTCTTGGTTTCATGCATTTCACTCTGTTGGCTACAAATATTTAACTTGGTCCGGAGCTGGGGTGATTGGTTGGTTCTGTGGAGAACAGCCTAAGGCACTGACCTGGGATGGGTGTGACACCAGGACAAACCCAGATCTTACAAGCAGATTATGTTGGGGACTTTTTTGTCCATCATTTATATATGGGGAAAAGGTATTTAGCAAGATT